TATCTATCCTTCCCCCGACACTGCCGCTGGCGTACGCTGGAAGCGCTACGCTACGCTGCCGCAAAGTATAAACGCAGCCTTAGGCATTCCGCCACCCTTATGAAGGCCGCCTTAGAGTTGGCGTGCACAGTGAGTCTTGAAGTGAACGGTGTGCTGGTGTTTTGCCAATGTGCTACCTACACGCATCCTGCCCATGCCGCACTTTCGTCAATTCTTAGGGGGGGGGCGTCAGAGTTGGGGAGTCGACAAGATTCTGACATTTGATTTTTTAAGGCCTGAAGTCAGGGTACACATCGTTTGTGCGAAAACCGATAGGGGGGCGGTCGTACTGGAGCCGCTGGGAGGCGGGCCGTACGTAATTCAAGAAGCCGGGCAAATGCCTTCGATATTTCAGTTAGTGGAGTGGACTATTGGAAGTTTGAGATGTTAAAAAAATGAAAATTATTATGAGTGTATTCTTTACAGATTGAACTGCTACGTTTAACAGCCCTCTTTTCATGCAAAATCCCCAAAACTACTTAACGGGTTCGTACTTGGCCGCGCCTCCGCGCACGTGGGGAAGTACCGCAAAAGTAGGCTCGCTAGGCATCAAACAGTACAAAGGTGTCATTGCTAAGGGTAATGGAACGGACGGAAAGCTTCAGAAGACCCGGATGTAAATAGGAATACAAAATAATAAAAGATTTATTAGCAATATAGCAAGAATAAATAAATAAATAAGTGTCAGTTTATAGCATGAACTCGTAAGTACGTAGATGACTAAATAATACGTCTCAAACAGATTCGTGCGTGTTGTCCTTTACAAACCCTAAACAAACATCTGCTTGCATGGATAAAAACACCTCAAATTAGAATTCATACCTTTCCATCACCTCTGCGTAGGAGAGTAATGCGCACGCTAGGACCAAATCGATCAGTGATAGCCGAGCTCCTCTTTCACTCATTTGAAGGGAAATATGTGTTTTGGAGTTTTCGAAGGTGTATCCTCACAATGGCACAGAAGGAGTCGATTTTTCAGAGGGTAGCGCGTCTGTGACCTATCTAAAAGATCTCCTGAACTAGTGGGTGTTCAGAAAAGCCATTTGGAAAGAGAAAAGATAGGGCGGTTTCGAGACTATTGCAATCCTGATAAAATCGAAATAAGTAGTCCTCGTGTGAAGCATAAAAACCCGCTTGCCATTTACCCCTAGCCTATCCAAAACCCATCCGGAATATTTCACCAACGGGGGATTGTTCAGTTTGCAACTAGGTAGAATACACAACAGTAGAAACTTTGCCGTTGCATGCTGCTCACCATTCCTCAAAAGCTCCGCACCTAAAAAAGATATAAGCTCCTGAAAAGACCCCAGGACGCTGACTTTCGAGTTACCGCGCTCCAATGACGTTTTTGCAGCGAAAGCGGTCGCGACCTTGCGATCGATAATAGCCAAGTATAGAACGATTTACTGCCGCCTGGTTATCCTTTTTTCATTTGGCTTATTTTTCATGTTTCGCTTTGTTGTGTCGTTCATGTTTTTATGATTTCCCCGTCACCATTCATTGAATGCACATCTGAGGCCTGACACGCTGACCTTGGGCTAATTTTTTCACCAGTTTAGCTCATTAATGATCACCGTCGCTGTTTCGATTGTGTTCCTTCTTACAAGTTGCATGTCATACAACGAGGAGTTTTATTTTGGATCCTAAGACAAAATTGTAGGTAATGCGAGGCTGTTGTTTATCCACATATTGCATGAGGCTTAAACAGCCTCTCCATTGCCTGGATTTAAAGACACATAGTACGCTCATACACATTGAGGGTGTATGAGACTATCAGCCCCCCAGATGTCGATGTGTCGTGGTCCCCCCGCCCAAACATGCCCAGGAATGGAGATACAGGGCCGTGAAACACGCTAATTCTTCCATGCTCCGCCCACTGCCTTTTTACGGCGCAGATTCCCGCCGTTCTGAACATCCGTCGTAAGCGCGCCTGTCGCGTGCGGCTCCTTGGCACTTTGCCAAGTCCTTTAATTGCGCTCTCAAATACGAGTAAAACGCAATTTCCTGATGCGGATAACATTGGAGGTGCTACAAAATAAGAGCAGAAGATGATGACAAGGGGCAGAACTCAAGAGCAACTCGGCTGCATTTGCAGTATCCATCAAGGGCCGCGCATTCCCACAAAGCATGAAAATAAAAACAGCCCAAGCGTCCCACTCGTTTGTTCTAAGTATTTCTATGGCTTTGGCGCCGGATCGTAGAAATTTACAGGCCAGTTTATCTAATTTGCCTTTCCTTGATTTTTTCATTTTTGTTTTGTTTACATTTACATCGTGGTGCTTCATTTCTAGCCTGTGTCATCTTCATCTCCTTGTACATGGATTTTGAAGCATGAGCAACACCTAGAATTTTATTCGCATCAGGAAATTGCGTTTGTATCAAACTAACAAGTATGCCCTTTTTATTTTCATGTTTCGTGAACATACGCGGCCTCCGAGGATGTTGCAGAAGTGGCACAGTTGCTTTCAAGTTCTGACCCTCGTCATCATCTTCTGCTCTTATTTTGTAGCACCTCCAATGTTATCCGCATCAGGAAATTGCGTTTTCCTTGTATTGAGAGCGCAATTAAAGGACTTGGCAAAGTGCCAAGGAGCCGCACGCGACAGGCGCGCTTACGACGGATGTTCAGAACGGCGGGAATCTGCGCCGTAAAAAGGCAGTGGGCGGAGCATGGAAGAATTAGCGTGTTTCACGGCCCTGTATCTCCATTCCTGGGCATGTTTGGGCGGGGGGACCACGACACATCGACATCTGGGGGGCTGATAGTCTCATACACCCTCAATGTGTATGAGCGTACTATGTGTCTTTAAGAGCAGAGTCCGCCTTTCGAAAATCCAGATTCCATTTCAGGAAGCCATTTGTGGTGAACATGCATCTGGTTGTCAGTTAGAGCAGGAGGAGGGGGGGGGGGTCGTATCTGGACCCTTCGAGGTTGGGGGGTCGTTCGTACTCACACCGCCAATTTTCGCACATCCCCTGTCTACCCTGCTGAAATAGGCCACAAGGCCAGAACATAATCCAGTCACATGTTGGTTGTGGCTACAATAAGAAAATCAAAGGAAAATAATTATCAAGGCAACCCCTACCAGGACTTTTCCCATCCTACTCACTACCTTCTTAAATATTTCCTCTAGCAAACTCTATCTAGAACAGTGCATGACATCGCGAAAAAGCTGTATCAGTACTACCCCTCCTCCCTCCCCACCCCTATTTGGCATTCGCCATCCGAACTGCCATCTTCCTGAGCTTTTCCACTTATCCCAGTTTCCAATTTTCCCAATTTTTTTCCCCTGAAAAAGAGCCGACAAGCACAGTGGAAGACCTCCAAAATCAAGTGCTCCGACACCAAGGCAATACCGCAGAGCCGGCAACCAGGAGAGGACGTAATGGTCATGAAAGATGGGAAAAGTCAACAGAAGAATTGCTCTCGCGGCTCAGAAAGTCCCAGAAATCAGATTTTTCAACTGTGAATACGTCCCCCTCTCGTTAGAGGGATCAGACACCTACCTCTAAAATGACTTTTTCACCGATGCTGTTCCCTGACTGGGATGCGAAAGAACAGAGATTCTTTCGTGATTTATAGACTTCAGTTCTAACTTCCACTTCGGCAGTCTTGTGAGCACCCTTTAATTGGATTCGGACTCAATGAAGCATGAACAGCTCGAATATGGTTTTCAGGCAATGCTTCTAACGCAGACATCTTAGAGAAAAGGTTGCTTTCGTGACTGCGGGGAGATATTTGAGACATGGACTGACGCGTGTAGTAATTAACTCGACTATGGCTAGCATATAACTCATTAGCCTAGTCGAGTATTTGTAGTCATATTATCAACCTATGAAAGTTTCTACGTTGTCACTTATGGTTAGTACTAGTGTCCAGATATCGTTTCTCTTCATGATACTGTGCTTTTCTACCAAACATTACTTTTCATTTACCTTCCATTATCTTCTCAAGCTGCCGAAGAAGAACCGTGGATAGTTTCATTGCACAAGCATAAATTCGCTGATCTCTATTGGCCCATACTTCAAGGTGGAGAAAATGCACTATAAGTAATGACATCTTGTTTGTAATTTGGGTTTTCGCGTGAAAGTTGGAATGTTTCAGCAGCGAACTTATATCGTTCCATGGAGAACATTTTGCTCTAGGTGGGAGTGTTGCTGCTTTACGGGATGCTTCAATCTTTGAACGTTTGAGTTGAGAAAAAAATGAATTCGCGAAAAAATGTTTATTCATCTATTTATTTAGTACGCTGTTTAAGACAACGATCGATAAATGAGAATAAAACTAAACTCGAAACAAATAAAACAAACCTACAACAATGAAGAAACATAGCACCTATGCACTGAGAACCTGCTTAGCAATGGTATGGGAAGCTCAGTCGAATTATTTTATTGTTAGCACAAGACTTCAGGTTAGATATGCCAAGGCTTCTGCTGCATTTACTAAAAGACTGGGAACAGTAGCTGGACGGCAGTGCATTTCAGTTTTGTGTGGTCTCAAGACGAGCTAAAGTCCCATATCCTTTGTCCTAGATAAATTGTCGAGCCCTTGAGAAAGAAGAAGGTGATATACGAGCGCCTCTAGCACTGGTTCGAAAGCCAAAGGGTCTTCAGAGGATTCATTAGTTAGAGCTGCGGGGAGATCTGTGCTGCTGGTTTTGTCCTCAACAGTGCAGAGCTTTCATGTTGTTGCTCTCGCTGCTTTTCTGTAACCGTTCCCGCCGCAATGGTTTCACCATTATCGCAAAAGCACCCCAACACTAACTGGCGAGGTCGAGGAATCAGTGCCGCTTGTTTTTCGCAGCCATATCGATCAGTTCATCGATTACTTCCAGCATTTCTCCTCTGTAGTGTAGTGATATAGTGTCATTATTGCCCACAATTTCATCTCACTATCAAACACAAATTTTTCAAAGTGTGAATATTTTTTCAGGATAAGTTTCGAGAATATATTTGTACTAATGAACGTCGTCGAAATGATTACAATAATCTTTCATTCGATGTACGACTTGACTGGAATGCTGTTCAATGTGTGCACTTCTCTATCTGGTTATCTTTCGGACACCATCTCAATTCAAGGTATATGCTATTCTGATTGGAAACTCGGCAGTCACGGACTTCTTTGCCTGCCTCACAACATTTCTTACACAACAAAGGTAGTGTGAACGTACGGCTTCCGACTTTGCTCCACCATAATCAATATTTTACAGATTGGTTCCAGTGGGGACAGGTCTAATATATTTCTATTATGGGCCGTGCCGCATAATAGGAGCACAATTCTGTTATATAACGTGTGTTAAGTCGTTTTTGAACGAAATCATACTTCTCTCGGGAGCATATCTCGGTTGCAAAACCGAAGTGGCCTTGATCCCTTGCACACACGCAACTCAGTATCACACTAACATTGCTCTCATGATTGCCTTGAATACATACCAAGCCTCCTGCAAGTCTGCTTCGAACAGAATACTGCTAATCGAGACCTTAATGTTAAGTAGTGTGATGATCTCATTACTTCAAGATGGCATTTGGTGGCATTAGTGGGACGCAGACAGCGTAAAGGTGGCAAATCATGTGATGACTGCCATCGTGTACTTATCGAACAATTAGGAAGGAATCTAAGAATTTAGCCTCTTGTTCAAGTGTAATGCGTCTACACCTTCTGAAATCGTCAAGGCGTGCTTGTGTGTCACTCAACAGTGTTGTCCTCCGTGGTCGACTACGAGCCGCTGGCAGAAGTGACCGTGCAAAACTAGCCTCCAGCTCTCAAACCAGGATGTCTGTGCTAATAAATCTGGTACATTGGTGCTCGCGATTTTTACTGACATCCGTGAAACCGTGAACTCCACCTAGCAGCGAGATGAATATCCTCAACTTTTTCACGATTCCTCTATTCCTACCCCACATTTTTAGCTCTTGCAATATGTGCTTGAGATCATTGGATAAAAATTAAACACGCAAAGGGGGTGCCTGGAGAAACGCTTTTTTAACTGTAGAGTGTCGTATAGCGGTCCCCATGAATTGTCCTCACAAAGTGTGCACTTTTTTGTTCTTCAGTGTAACTGAACAGGTTTCAAACTTTACAAGTTTAGGTATTGTGCAATGTTATCGTGCTGCATTCACTCGCTATACTCTCTGCTACTCTCTTTTTCCTTTAGATATTATGTTTTGAGATGGCAACACCCATCAGCTGAGTCGCTGAAGCTTACTATCTTCTTTATTTCGACACCATCGATACTTGTATTTGTACGTTCTTCACAATTTCATGTGAACTTGGAGGCTAGTCAAGGAGCGCATACCTGTTGAATATCGTCTTGACCTAGATCATTGGCTGTTTCGCAAATGAGCCAGCATCAGAGCTTCTTACGATTTTGGCCAAAGAGCTGCCGTACTACGATATCGCTAATGCAACAATAGCTGGTCACACTAGCGTATTCGAATGGAAACTTTTAACAGGGATTCTTCTGATAGCTACGCCTATTACGCCGATCTTAGTCAGTACTCTAGTACTGAAAAGACAAATAGTCGCACTGCTTTCGACGCACCCGCTGTCGGAGAATACGAAGATTTTACATAAACAACTGCTGGAGGTAGAGTTATGCCATTTAATATACCATACTTCAGGAGACTGCTCTGATTTTTTTTGAAATTTCACAAACAGTCGCAATTGGTGTTGAGGAAAAAAAGGACCAGGCTTTCGCCGCTCATTAAACCCTTTTTCGGGTGCCGCACGAATTCAAGCTCCGAATCCCGACTCCGATTGTAAAACAATGATAACGTGCTGTTTTCAACTCAGTTGCAATTTACAATTTCAAAAATGTATCAGGCTCTACAACTTTGTTCTATGCGAAAACACTTATATAATGGGCAGTAGATTTCAGGCGCTCACCTATCAGGCTCTATTACCTAGCCTGTTCTTCATCAGTCTGCTGTGCTACTTGTGCATTCAGTCTGGTCTGTACCGTCATCCGATCTTGGAGTCATTCACGATGATTTTTATCGGGTCTTTTCCTGTGCTAAGTCCACTGATGAGCTTGTATTTCATCAAACCGTACAGAACGCATATATCACAACATCTTTTAATTGCTTGTAGAAAGAAACGCGCTATGGGCGAGACGAATTCAAAGGTGCTCTCTGTCTCTGTTGTAGCGCATTAAAATTACCAGTTTTGGCTTCGTCCAGCTCCTGAAGGGAGACAGTTTATGAGGCCAGGCAGTGGAGCGCTAGCGCCTGGGTCTCACACTCGGCGTGGGCACACTCACTGAAGGCGCCTCGCGACCAAAAATACGGCGGCACTTCGAGCCTTTGGACAAAAATTCAAGCTGTATACTTTTTCCATGAAAAGTGGCTTTCAGTTGACAAAAATCGCCATCACTGTGCATGAAAATGTGTTCATCGTGTGCGAAACATCTTTACTCTGTCCCCTCAAAACTGTGATTGCGATGGAGAGAAGTTTCGATCACTTTATCGACGTCGAATGTACCTTAACTGAGCTGCTCTGTATAAGATTATTGTCAAAAAAAGCAGCTTGTCCTTTTGTGACCATGCAGATTGTAATTCCAGTCCCAACATTGTCTCCAGGATTTTCACGTCCTTAATCGGTTGATTAATTGGCTGTTGATTGCTTTACATAATCTCTACGTTACAGAAGTCAATAAATTACAAGAAACCGTTTTTATTCTCCAAATAATAGGGCTGCCGATGCAGGATCACGTGCCAAGCCCTTTGTAAAGTGTATCGATTCTTTCTGGAACATTTCTTTCAAAATGACGTAAGGCTTTCTGTCTAGGTTAAAAAGGGACTGCAACATATTCCTTTCCAGGTTATGTTAGTGGCTGAACAACTGATGCAGTTGCCAAAGATTACAGAATCACGGATTCGAAACCACTCTAAGCTTTCTCGGAGAAAAAGATAAATTCTTCAACGGCGCTTGGTGAAAGGATCAGCATGAAAAAATTGTAGTAAAATGTAGCCTTTACTAAAAAATATGAATCCAAGCTACTTTGGTCTGCTATAGAACTTATACTGCCCTTTCTTTTGCATCCAAAAATTTTCCTCTCAAAGGAGCTGTTTACGAATTGTCCCCTTCCGTCGACATTGTCTTGAAATAGTTGTTATGAGATGAGAGCTTAACTCCAGCTACGTCACTGCACATGCATCAGTTGCACCTCTCGAAGAATCGAGGGATTCAGAGATTTAAATGCTGTCAAGGGAATTTCCTCATTTAGAGAGCTAGTCCATGCGTTTAGGTCATAGCATATCATCAACTTTTCTTGCTGTAGAAATTGAGAACAACTGTCGTTTTTGTTTTGATTAATGCAAAATTATTTTTATTATTAGGTTCCATTTTAATGTCCTGAATTGGAATTCAAATTAGCATTTCAAAAAAGAGTTTTATCAAGAAACTGGAAAAGATGAGGCTGCAGACAAGGGTAGTCAGGAAACTGATTAGGTTTTTCAACGCGCTGCCACTTGTTAATAGCTTTTTCCGGTAGTAAACTTCCCTAGAAGTTGAAATACGGACCTTGAAATAAGCATGATTTACAGGGCGTCCAAAGTAACATTACAGGTGAACCGCATGTCGAACATCTGATGTGAACGGTAAGGACTGGGTGTAGTTCTCGGATAATCCAATTCTTGTTCGGTTGTTGAAATTGAACGCTGCCATGTAAGATTTGCCACCTTTAGAAAAGTCAACCCATTATCGAATCGAGAACGGGCCGTCCATTTGCTCTGGGTGCTTCAAAAAGATCGTCGTACATTCCAGTAATAGAGCGTTAGAGTTTATCAGAAAAAGGTAGGGTAAACATGATACATGAACATGAAATAAAAAAACTGGGGGCGAAAATAATGTACATGATGGGGACACCCGGCAGAGAATCGACTGCCGATTAATACCATAACCAACATGATTAATGCCACAAATGTATCACAGTGAGTGCCTGTGTGTAATAGAATCTCAGCCACAGTACAGTGAAGAACGCTAGCCTCTTCCGTAGTCAGTATGATG